AACAATTTCAATATTATTCTTCTTATCCATCACCAAATTTTAGGTTACTTCATCTCTAAGAAACTAAGTTAAAAGACAATTAATTAATGACATATATTTCACATACGTTCGTAATAATTAAAACTATATATTGAGGTTAGATAGTATATTTATTCACCATATTCACATTGAATTATGGTATAATAGATGTAAACAATTTCAATTTTATTCTTCTTATTCATCACCAAATTTTAGTTTACTTCATTACTAAGAAACAAGATTAAAAGACTATTAGTTAATAACATATATTTCATATACGTTCGTAATAATTAAAACTATATATTGAGGTTAGATATTATATTTATTCACCATATTCACATTGCATTATGGTATAATAGATGTAAACAATTTCAATATTCTTCTTCTTATCCATCACCAAATTTTAATTTACTTCATCACTGAGAAACAAGTTAAAAGACTATTAGTTAATAACATATATTTCATATACGTTTGTAATAATTAAAACTATATAATGACGCTAGAAAGTATATTTATTCACCATATTCACATTGTATTATGGTGTAATAGATGTAAACAATTTAAATATTATTCTTCTTATCCATCACCAAATTTTAGGTTACTTTATCACAAAGAAACCAAGTTAAAAGACTATTAGTTAACGACATATATTTCACATACGTTCGTAATAATTAAAACTATATATTGAGGTTAGATAGTATATTTATTCACCATATTCACATTGTATTATTGTATAATAGATGTAAACAATTTCAATATTATTCTTCTTATCCATCACCAAATTTTAGTTTACTTCATCACTAAGAAACAAAGTTAAAAGACTATTAGTTAATAACATATATTTCATATACGTTAGTAATAATTAAAACTATATATTGAGGTTAGATATTATATTTATTCACCATATTCACATTTCATTATGGTATAATAGAAGTAAACAATTTCAATATTATTCTTCTTATCCATCACCAAAATTTAGGTTACTTCATCACTAAGAAACTAAGTTAAAAGACTATTCATTTATGACTTATATTTCATATACGTTCATAATAATTAAAACTATATAATGAGGCTAGAAAGTATATTTATTCACCATATTCAAATTGAATTATGGTATAATACATGTAAACAATTTCAATATTATACTTCTTATCCATCACCAAATTTTAGGTTACTTCATCACTAAGATACTAAGTTAAAAGACTATTAAATTATGACATATATTACATATACGTTCGTAATAATTAAAACTATATAATGAGGTTAGATAGTAAATTTATTCACCATATTCACATTGTATTATGGTATAATAGATGTAAACAATTTCAATATTATTCTTCTTATCCATCACCAAAATTTAGGTTACTTCATCACTAAGAAACTAAGTTAAAAGACTATTAATTTATGACATATATTTCATATACTTTCATAATAATTAAAACTATATAATCGTGTTAGATGGTAAATTTATTCACCATATTCACATTGTATTATGGTATAATAGATGTAAACAATTTCAATATTATTCTTCTTATCCATCACTAAATTTTAGTTTACTTCATTACTAAGAAACAAGTTAAAAGACTATTAGTTAATGACATATATTTCATATACGTTCGTAATAATTAAAACTATATATTGAGGTTAGATAGTATATTTATTCACCATATTCACATTGTATTATCGTATAATAGATGTAAACAATTTCAATATTCTTCTTCTTATCCATCACCAAATTTTAATTTACTTCATCACTAAGAAACAAGTTAAAAGACTATTAGTAAATGACATATTTCATATACGTTCGTAATAATTAAAACTATATATTGAGGTTAGATAGTAAATTTATTCACCATATTCACATTGTATTATGGTATAATAGATGTAAACAATTTTGATATTATTCTTCTTATCCATCACCAAATTTTAGGTTACTTCATCACTAAGAAACTAAGTTAAAAGATAATTAATTAACGACATATATTTCATATACGTTCGTAATAATTAAAACTATATAATGAGGCTAGAAAGTATATTTATTCACCATATTCACATTGTATTATGGTGTAATAGATGTAAACAATTTCAATATTATTCTTCTTATCCATCACCAAATTTTAGGTTACTTTATCACAAAGAAACTAAGTTAAAAGACTATTAGTTAACGACATATATTTCACATACGTTCGTAATAATTAAAACTATATATTGAGGTTAGATAGTATATTTATTCACCATATTCACATTGTATTATGGTATAATAGATGTAAACAATTTCAATATTATTCTTCTTATCCATCACCAAATTTTAGTTTACTTCATCACTAAGAAACAAAGTTAAAAGACTATTAGTTAATAACATATATTTCATATAAGTTCGTAATAATTAAAACTATATATTGAGGTTAGATATTATATTTATTCACCATATTCACATTGCATTATGGTATAATAGAAGTAAACAATTTCAATATTATTCTTCTTATCCATCACCAAATTTTAGGTTACTTCATCACTAAGAAACTAAGTTAAAAGACTATTCATTTATGACTTATATTTCATATACGTTCATAATAATTAAAACTATATAATGAGGCTAGAAAGTATATTTATTCACCATATTCAAATTGAATTATGGTATAATACATGTAGACAATTTCAATATTATACTTTTTATCCATCACCAAATTTTAGATTACTTCATCACTAAGATACTAAGTTAAAAGACTATTAATTTAAGACATATATTACATATACGTTCGTAATAATTAAAACTATATAATGAGGTTAGATAGTAAATTTATTCACCATATTCACATTGTATTATGGTATAATAGATGTAAACAATTTCAATATTATTCTTCTTATCCATCACCAAAATTTAGGTTACTTTATCACTAAGAAACTAAGTTAAAAGACTATTAATTTATGACTTATATTTCATATACGTTCATAATAATTAAAACTATATAATGAGGTTAAATAGTAAATTTATTCACCATATTCACACTGTATTATGGTATAATAGATGTAAACAATTTCAATATTATTCTTCTTATCCATCACCAAATTTTAGTTTACTTCAATACTAAGAAACAAGTTAAAAGACTATTAGTTAATGACATATATTTCATATACGTTCGTAATAATTAAAACTATATATTGAGGTTAGATAGTATATTTATTCACCATATTCACATTGTATTATCGTATAATAGATGTAAACAATTTCAATATTCTTCTTCTTATCCATCACCAAATTTTAATTTACTTCATCACTAAGAAACAAGTTAAAAGACTATTAGTTAACGACATATATTTCACATACGTTCGTAATAATTAAAACTATATATTGAGGTTAGATAGTATATTTATTCACCATATTCACATTGTATTATGGTATAATAGATGTAATCAATTTCAATATTATTATTCTTATCCATCACCAAATTTTAGGTTACTTCATCACTAAGAAACTAAGTTAAAAGACAATTAATTAATGACATATATATCATATACGTTCGTAATAATTAAAACTATATAATGAGGCTAGAAAGTATATTTATTCACCATATTCACATTGTATGATGGTGTAATAGATGTAAACAATTTCAATATTATTCTTCTTATCCATCACCAAATTTTAGGTTACTTCATTACTAAGAAACTAAGTTAAAAGACTTTTAGTTAACGACATATATTTCACATACGTTCGTAATAATTAAAACTATATATTGAGGTTAGATAGTAAGTTTATTCACCATATTCACATTGTATTATGGTATAATAGATGTAAACAATTTCAATATTATTCTTCTTATCCATCACCAAATTTTAGGTTACTTCATCACTAAGAAACTAAGTTAAAAGACAATTAATTAATGACGTATATTTCATATACGTTCGTAATAATTAAAAATATATAATGAGGCTAGAAAGTATATTTATTAACCATATTCACATTGTATTATGGTGTAATAGATGTAAACAATTTCAATATTATTCTTCTTATCCATCACCAAATTTTAGGTTACACTACAAGAAAAATGATAGATTGGGACGGTTATTTTGGCTGATTACGACGGTTAAAACCGTCGCAATTTACAATCTACGACGGTAGAAGTACCGTCGCAGAATCGTGCGTCCCCAGCCTATTTCGCGACGGTTGCAAAAACTGTCACGCACAACAGATGGCGACGGTTATATACCGTCGTGAATTTGACTTTATTTTTTGTTTTTGTTGTTGTTTGCGACGGTTATATACCGTCGTGAATTTGACTTTTTTTTTTGTTTTTGTTGTTGTTTGCGACGGTTATATACCGTCGTGAATTTGACTTTTTTTTTTGTTTTTGTTGTTGTTTGCGACGGTTATATACCGTCGTGAATTTGACTTTATTTTTTGTTGTTGTTGTTTGCGACGGTTATATACCGTCGTGAATTTGACTTTAACCGTCGTAATCTGATTTATAAATTTCAAATAATATTTTTATTTAAATTATTATTTAGTAAAATAATTTTAAATATAATATTATTTTACTATAATATTTTACTGAAAGTGTTTTTCCCCTTCTAAAATTGAAATCAAACATACACTTCATATTGTACACTTTAAATTTTAAAATTGAAAGAAAAGATAAAATTATAGAATTTTTTTTTTATATAATCCTCTTTTAATTTCTTCCATTTATATAAAAGGCACATTTGCAAACTCTCAAATACATTGCTAATACTAGGACCTCTCTAAATATTAATAATATTATAAAAATGTATCTTTCTAAATATTTACACACTATACAAATAACTAAAAAAAAATTTGAGTGCCTCTAAAATGGGGACTCAGGGCTGCAAGTCCATTTCGGTCAACAGAGCATCTAATAGTGTAAATAGAGTGCACTACATATCCAACAAAAAGCCAATATCTCTTTAATGGAGAGTATTGATCTACTGAAGATGGAAATTTTATAATTCTTGCAGAATTGTCCTTACTGATCCTCATGTGTTGTATTGACTTCATTATTGATTTGTTCAGCTCCAGCACTATTATTGGAAGCGTTGGAGTTGTCTTCATTCTGTGCAAAATCGTCAAGAGTAGCATCATCAATAACCAGAAACCAAAAAGGTTAACACCAATATTAGTTCAATTCTTTGGACAAATGTTGGGAATATCATTATACATAGGTTGGTTACTGAGAATCTGAAATAAAGCAGATAAAGCTTAACCTGTTTAGTGAGACCGTGGACGGACATTACTTCGTAAAGCTTGCGCATAATCATCTCTTCTTCCACCTAACAACCAGAACTCCAAAATTTAGGGATTCAAGTTTTTGTAGATGTCATGTGATTTACTTGTTCAAAATAATAATCACCAAAGAAAATTTTGACTCTAATTTCTTGAAAATATTGATATGCCACAAATAAAATAAAACAAAACTATCCTGTAAACATTGTAGCCAGCAACAAAAAAGAGGGAACAAATAACAAGTTCAAGAGTGTGAGCCAGCTTAGAGTTGGAGCTAAAAAAACAACCAATTTTTTTAGGTTCTCCACTAAGCATACTATGAGTAAACATATCAGTAACATGGCAACTGAAAGATAGCAAATAAAATCATAATCATATGTTAAAATGCGCCGTAAACATATCATACAAAAGATATATCAGACAACTATATGTTGAATCAAAATGAGAAACTCATTTGCTGCAAGCGGCTGTAATGAAATGGTCTAGATTCATGGAATAATAAAATTCACCACGAGCTTAGAATTATATTGCAAAGATAAAGGAATCGCCTATATTGTGAGATATAAGCATCTCAATCTTGACCATAAGAAAAATCAGACTGAGCTGATAAATCACAATGTGCAGGAGTAAAGTGTTTCAAAAGATTTATATCAAATGAGCCAAAATCATGAGATGTTGAATTTTCAATCATGAAATAATATCACATTCTAAAAATATCATTTTTCTCTCTTGAAAGTGTCAGCCCCATTTTCTTGAGGCCATAGTTAGCAGTTTCCTAAATTGATAGGAGAATAAAGAGAGTAAAGCAAAATATACAAAGCCGGTGATTTAATGCTACAAATCCAAATACTTAAGAAAGGGACTGTGTATAAATATAACAACCTGAAGTTTTTGCAATTCATGCAACATTGATCTGTATGTTTCCATAAGGACCTCATTCTGCTTATCCATATGCTTGTTCACCAAAAACATAGAATAGAAGGCAACCTATAAAATAGCTCACGGCAGATAAATCATTATGAAAAACACACAAAAAAAAAATAATAGGTCTACTTCAACAATTCTCCCGAGTATCTTGGGTCAAAATTTCCAGGCTCCATCGTTATATAATAATAGAAGACCAAAACCTGAAAATTAGCACACGTGTTAATTTGTAAATCCAAAAGGACTTTGGCTTAACCTAATATCATGCTGAAACTGTATATAATCAATGTGATAACCAAGTTAACTAAAGAAGAATTCTGAACAAAAGAAAAGGAAGAGCAGTACCCATGTAGCTTCCAGCACAGCGAGAAAAAGAACACAAAGCATTCATAATAATAAACAGAGAAATTTACCGTGGTGGATGAAGCAGAAAATGAGAGAGAGGTTTTGGGAATAAGGAGAGTAGAGTGACTCTGCTTCCGACGGCAAGTAAGAAGGAGCATAATATTTAGTGAAGTTTTTTGATAAAGAGCATAATCAATCGGTTTCCTGTTTCTGTAGTACTCAAATGCTACTGTAATTTGATTTACTGATTATGTTTACCCTTTTAGCTTCTTCCAGAACTGATTCATGACTCACGTCCAAAAAGTGGATATCTGGTGAATCTAGAACCAAGTGATTTGCATATGGTTTTCCATCCTCTATAATTTTCCCCGACACATTAATAACACAAAACTCTTGTTGTCCAAAAGAGCGTGTCTCGAAAAATTCCCTCTTTAACGGCAAAACAAAGTCAACAGAATAGAAGACCAGGACTCTGGACCCTCTAGAACCAGGATTCGGACAAAGGCATCAACCAGCAGCAGTGATCGAGTTCTACAATTATCAGTATGTTTGTTTACTTGGGTCTGTAAGCAGCAACTTTGACACAAGGTATCCTGCAATTGACCATGTCTGAAACAGTATAGAAAACTACAATCAAGTCCCTGTATAGGTATATTGCTAAAGATTTATAAATATACCATTTCTCAGTTATTTTCATGCAGAAAAACTATGCTTGTAATACATGATTAGAGTTTAAAATTTCCAACAGTCAACATATATGGCCATAGAAAATTTAACAATTACCATGCACATAGGTTTTCAAGACATGACCATAAATATACTGATTTCGATAAAAAAAACTGGTTAGGGAATGGTCATATTTGAAAATTCATCTTCTATGACAGGGAATAAGTAACATTAATTATAAACCAAATTGTCACCAACCTTGGTCGAGAATCATCTTTACAACCGTCTTTGAATCCGTTGAGATCGGTTGTCTAACACTCTTCTTCCCATCCGTTCATGGTGTCGAGATGCAATTCTTGCTTCGCTGGGGTTTGCGTTTGAGCGTAGATAAAAGGAATGAAATGTCTGCTTAGATGAAAAGGGATGAAGCCCCGGGAATCGCCTGCTGAAACTCCTTCTCTGCCATTTAATTGCGTCTTGAAGCTCCTAAGGTTTCTACTGTTGATTAGATTTTGGAAGAACGAGGATTGATGAAAACCAAAGGCAGATTTGGAAGCGTGGCATCAAGACAAAGAGGACAAAGGGATAATTTCGAAGAATGGAAGCTTCACCATTCTAGGCGCAACATCGTACTTCCGGCGGTGGTTCTTTGCTTCAATCGGATAAAAAGCTCTTTCACAAAACCTAATCCTCTTTCAATTTTGTTTGTTACTCCTATTTTGTTTTTTTATATTTTTATTTGTTGTATTTTGTTTATAATTTAATAATAAATATTAGTTGCTGAAAATATTATGATATTGTGTTGATATTATGATATAAAAAAGTGGGAAAGTAAAAGAATAAAAAAAAGTAGCGATATTGTGTTGATAATCTAAGATCTTTTTTAGTACTAGACATTGGATAATATATTTTAGGGTTCATAATTTGTAAATTTAAATTTTAATTTCATGTTATATTTGAATGTGTTAATGATGGATATAAAATCAAATTTATATAAATCTCAAAAAAAAATTGTTTTACCGCGACGGGTGTTTTACCGTCGTGCCCATGAGAATTTTTAAAGGTTTTGGGTGCGACGGTTGTTTTACCGTCGTGAAATGAATTTTAGGACGGATAATTTTACCGTCGTGAAAGGTTTAAGGGTGCGACGGGTGCTTTACCGTCGTGATATGCCTTTTAGGACGGTTAATTTTACCGTCGTGACTAGTTGTTGGTGAAAAATCAATGTTAAAAGTGTTAAATGGGGGCCGACGGTTGTTTTACCGTCGTAATAATAATATTATGATGGTTAAATATACCGTCGCAAAATAAATATTAGGGACGGTTGGTGTCAACTGTCGTAAACACTGTCGCTATATGTCAATTACGACAGTTATCACATAACTGTCGCAATTTTTGTGTCGTTAAACACTAATTTTCTTGTAGTGTTACTTCATCACTAAGAAACTAAGTTAAAAGACTATTAGTTAACGACATATATTTAACATACGTTCGTAATAATTAAAATTATATATTGAGGTTAGATAGTATATTTATTCACCATATTCACATTGTATTATGGTATAATAGATGTAAACAATTTCAATATTATTCTTCTTATCCATCACCAAAATTTAGGTTACTTCATCACTAAGAAACTAAGTTAAAGACTATTCATTTATGACTTATATTTCATATACGTTCATAATAATTAAAACTATATAATGAGGCTAGAAAGTATATTTATTCACCATATTCAAATTGAATTATGATATAATACATGTAAACAATTTCAATATTATTCTTCTTATCCATCACCAAATTTTAGGTTACTTCATCACTAAGAAACTAAGTTAAAAGACTATTAGTTAACGACATATATTTAACATACGTTCGTAATAATTAAAACTATATATTGAGGTTAGATAGTATATTTATTCACCATATTCACATTGTATTATGGTATAATAGATGTAAACAATTTCAATATTATTCTTCTTATCCATCACCAAAATTTAGGTTACTTGATCACTAAGAAACTAAGTTAAAAGACTATTCATTTATGACTTATATTTCATATACGTTCATAATAATTAAAACTATATAATGAGGCTAGAAAGTATATTTATTCACCATATTCACATTGTATTATGGTATAATACATGTAAACAATTTCAATATTATTCTTCTTATCCATCACCAAATTTTAGGTTACTTCATCACTAAGATACTAAGTTAAAAGACAATTAATTTATGACATATATTACATATACGTTTGTAGTAATTAAAACTATATAATGAGGTTAGATAGTAAATTTATTCACCATATTCACATTGTATTATGGTATAATAGATGTAAACAATTTCAATATTCTTCTTCTTATCCATCACCAAATTTTAGGTTACTTCATCACTAAGATACTAAGTTAAAAGCCTATTAATTTATGACATATATTACATAAACGTTCGTAATAATTAAAATTATATAATGAGGTTAGATAGTAAATTTATTCAACATATTCACATTGTATTATGGTATAATAGATGTAAACAATTTCAATATTATTCTTCTTATCCATCACCAAATTTTAATTTACTTCATCACTAAGAAACAAGTTAAAAGACTATTAGTAAATGACATATATTTCATATACGTTCGTAATAATTAAAACTATATATTGAGGTTAGATAGTAAGTTTATTCACCATATACACATTGTATTATGGTATAATACATGTAAACAATTTCAATAGTATTCTTCTTATCCATCACCTAATTTTAGGTTACTTCATCACTAAGATACTAAGTTAAAAGACTATTAATTTATGACATATATTACATATACGTTTGTAATAATTAAAACTATATAATGAGGTTAGATAGTAAATTTATTCACCAGATTCACATTGTATTATGGTATAATAGATGTAAACAATTTCAATATTATTCTTCTTATCCATCACCAAAATTTAGGTTACTTCATCACTAAGAAACTAAGTTAAAGACTATTCATTTATGACTTATATTTCATATACGTTCATAATAATTAAAACTATATAATGAGGCTAGAAAGTATATTTATTCACCATATTCAAATTGAATTATGGCATAATACATGTAAACAATTTCAATATTATTCTTCTTATCCATCACCAAATTTTAGGTTACTTCATCACTAAGAAACTAAGTTAAAAGACTATTAGTTAACGACATATATTTAACATACATTCGTAATAATTACAACTATATATTGAGGTTAGATAGTATATTTATTCACCATATTCACATTGTATTATGGTATAATAGATGTAAACAATTTCAATATTATTCTTCTTATCCATCACCAAAATTTAGGTTACTTCATCACTAAGAAACTAAGTTAAAAGACTATTCATTTATGACTTATATTTCATATACGTTCATAATAATTAAAACTATATAATGAGGCTAGAAAGTATATTTATTCACCATATTCACATTTTATTATGGTATAATACATGTAAACAATTTCAATATTATTCTTCTTATCCATCACCAAATTTTAGGTTACTTCATCACTAAGAAACTAAGTTAAAAGACAATTAATTAATGACGTATATTTCATATACGTTCGTAATAATTAAAAATATATAATGAGGCTAGAAAGTATATTTATTAACCATATTCACATTGTATTATGGTGTAATAGATGTAAACAATTTCAATATTATTCTTCTTATCCATCACCAAATTTTAGGTTACTTCATCACTAAGAAACTAAGTTAAAAGACTATTAGTTAACGACATATATTTAACATACGTTCGTAATAATTAAAATTATATATTGAGGTTAGATAGTATATTTATTCACCATATTCACATTGTATTATGGTATAATAGATGTAAACAATTTCAATATTATTCTTCTTATCCATCACCAAAATTTAGGTTACTTCATCACTAAGAAACTAAGTTAAAAGACTATTCATTTATGACTTATATTTCATATACGTTCATAATAATTAAAACTATATAATGAGGCTAGAAAGTATATTTATTCACCATATTCACATTTTATT